TCGAGATAAGCCGTCAGCATTTCGATTGGCACGACCAGGACGATAGACTATATTAAAATCAAATGGTGCCAGACTTGAAACCCATCTCTGTTCTGTTGCTCCAAGTTTTGCTGTGCTAAGGTGACTCAAAGGATTGTTGTCGGTTCTAACAGTGAAAGTAGATCCATATAGGTAGTCTTTGAACTTCTCTGTTATGGCCCATTTTAGTCCCATCATTTCCAGTTTTCTTGAGCTGTAGTTTTCCATCTTTTTCTCGTTTTCTCGAAGAGAACGACTCGCATACGCTATGACCTTTTCCTGATTGTCCTGGATCTGAGATAACACAGCACCTAACCCACTCAGACTAGCATCTACATCCAAAATAAAGGGTTTAGTGAAGTCTGCAAATGACAAAATAGGTGGGTTAACAAACTTGGATTTCAGTTCATCCATGGCTGTTTGACATTCTGGAGTCCAATGTTTTCGGAAAACTTTTGGAGAACTGCTACGACACTGACCAACCAAAGTATGTAGTGGCTTCGCAATCCTTGCAAAGTTAGGGACATAACGTCGATAATAGCTCGCAAAACCTAAAAAGGCTCGCAGCATCTTGACTGTACGAGGAACAGGCCAGTCGACAATGGCTTTGGTCTTGTCGGGATTCGATGAAACACCATCTTCAGATAACACATGACCCAGATAAGATATTTTCTTGCAGAACAAGTGGCACTTGGAAGGCTTCAACTTGAGTTTATGTTCTCTCAGTCTGTTAAAAACAGTGTCAAGATGCTGTAAATGATCATCAAAGGTCTTGGAAAAGATACAAATGTCATCAAGATAGACAAAGACCATCTGATACATAAGATCTCCCATGCATCTCTGCATAAGTCTCTGAAAAGTAGCTGGTGCTCCACAGAGGCCAAATGGCATTCTAGTATATTCGTATAACCCCATAGGTGTCACAAATGCCGTTTTTTCTTTATCTTCATCTCTTACTCTAACCTGATGATATCCACTGGCCAAGTCCAAGGAAGAGAAAAACTTGGCACCGACTGGAGCGTCAATGAGTTCATCAATACGTGGAAGAGGGAAAGCATCTTTCTTTGTGACTTCGTTTAGGCGCCTATAATCTACACACATACGTAAAGAACCATCCTTCTTCCTAGCCAACACAATGGGAGCGGCATATGGGCTAAAACTTTCATGTATGATGTTGTGGTCAAGAAGTTTCTGGATGTGTTTCTTTACTTCGTTGTATTGATTAGGTGGAATGCGCCTGAATGCTTGTGCTGTAGGTTCTGAAGTTGTTGTTTTTATGTGATGTTCTACGGTGTCAGTGTCACCTAGGTCAAGATCATGAGTGGCAAACACATCTCTATGTTTTTCTAGCAACTTCTGTATCTTCTCCATCTGCTGGTCGTCACCCTCAAACTCAGACAAATCTATTGGAACTGGCGAGGCGGTGCTCGTATCTGCTCGATCAACACGAATTTCACTTGCAGTTACTGTGAAATTTAATTCACCTGAGTCCTGCCCCACACTGTCAACTGAACGTAACACTCCAAGTCTAGTCTTGGGATGGAGAGTATAACCAGACCGAGAAATGTTGTCTATTCTCACCGGAAAAGACTTCTTCACTTCAACTAATGTAGAAGCTACAAGAATCCCTACAGGAAAATGATCGCTATTCCGCAGTGGTTCGACTACTGCCAGTTGAAAAGGAAGATCTTGTGGCACTCTGGCCATCACCGTCACTGACGTTTCTGGGGGGATGTATACCACCTGGTTACAAGATTTTACAATGGCAACCATCTCTTGCTCCTTAACCTGCGCCTCAATCTGCATGCTCAAAACAGATCTTAGAAAATGCAAAGGGGAAGACTCCCTGAGACAACTATCTGTCAGGGAATCGACCAAAAATGCCAACACATTCATTCCAAGAATTCCTGGAACCTTGTGCTTCTGCTCTTTACATTCTACATCCAGTGGATCACGGACAACTAAGAATCCCATTTGACTCAAAACAATACCATCACAATTTACATCAACTTCTATGTATCCAACATAAGGAATCTCTAAGCCATTAGCTGCCGTTATACGAAGACAGGGACTGTTCTGCTTAATAGTGCTTCCTGTTGGTTGCAAATGGTTGCGAAAGAAGTCCTCTGTGACAGTTGAGACCATGGATCCAGTGTCAATCAGACAGGTGGCATCAATATCTCCCAGTTTTATAGTGAGTATAGGACAATCAGCAACCAACTTGTTACCTTCCCCAAAAGTGGCGTGACATGACGAAATTGAAGTAGGGTCCACAACCTCCCTCTCTGCCGAGGGACCCAATTCGCAGAGAGTGTCTAGTTTTCCTGTGTGGACTTTGGTGCATTGATTACTTTGCGAAGTTCTTCAATGGTGTTGTTTGCGTCTTGTATCTGTCGTTTGTAGCAGTTGTCTTTAGTGTGGCCTGCTTTGTTACAATGATCACACTTGATTCTGTTGTTGTTTGGTGTTCTGTTGTATGCTTGTGGACTTCTGGATATATCTGTGAGCTTTTGATGCATCAGTTTAGTCAGATCCTCAATTTGCTTCTGTTGGGTATCCATTTGTTTCTGTTGTTTATACATTAGATCAATAAGTGTCTTGGTGTCTGACCTAGCAGTTGCTGCTTCAACTTGAACCTGTTTGGGTATCTGGATGTTTGTTGCCTCCTGCTTTTCTCCTTCTTCTGCCCATTCGATGGCCTCTGTCCGAAGTTCAAAGAATTCTAACGATGGAGACTCTCGTATCTTACTTTTAAGATACTTTCTGAGAAGGACATCAGAAACACCTTCTGCAAACTGATCCTTGAGCAAATGTTCCCGTTTCTCCATAAGTTGAGGAGATTTACGGGCTGCCCGTCCAAATAAATCCAAAAGAGAATGAGAAAAATCTCTCAAATTTTCTTCAGACTTCTGCTTCCTTTCAAAAAAAGCTCTTTGTAGTTGGACATTTGAGCCTTGATCGCCAAAAACCTCTCTTAGGACTGAGAATACCTCATCAAGATTATCCTTCCTATGATATTTAACTTCTTCACGGGCTGGACCACTAAGATGTTGTAAGGCAAAATCAACTTCAGCTTCCTTCGCCAAAGGTCGAGACTTAATTGCTGTGGTTATGTCATATATCCAATCTTCTAATTTAGTCACAGTTTGCCCAGAAAAAGAAGAAATCTTCTGACTAGGAACTACCAAGTAACTAGGACTGGATTTTTTCGCCTTATAAGATGTTGCTTGATTTTCCTGAACAAGTTCACGAAGTTCCTGGATCTCAGACATTAGTTTTGAGACACTAGGCCCTGAATCTACCTCTTCAGAATCCATTTCTCAACTTGACTAATTCTATCTATCTACAATGGGGAAAGAAGGTTAATACATGTGAAAAAAATGATGCGCTGTGCCAGCTCAAATTCGCGAACGGAAATCGCATGCACTTATACCTTAACTTGCACCAAGCGTTGTATGTTACGACAAGCAACGAGTAGCAGTGAGCGGTACGTCAACAAGTGCAATGCAGAGGCATAAGTCCACTGACGACAGTCAATGTAGCAGTGTGAAGAGTGGAATGGCACGATCGTTGGTCACCCCGGCAGGTGTCAATACACGAATAACCTGTATGCACACAAACAAAATAAAAAGAGAAAAGACTGCGCCAAAGTTATTATAAATTTACGAACGTCTGCTTACACTAAGAACAGTAAAGGATGACAGTGATTGTTAAATGCTTAGGTTTATAATATGCAAAAAAATCAAGAATTGAAAGCTGACAGTTGGATTTTGGTAAGATGTAGAGCTTCCAATATTCTATCTGTCACCAATTTTCTGTTAAAACGTGTACAAAAGGCAAAGCTCCACTCTTTTCAATTATGTATTTACATGTATCTACAGTATATCCGTCAGGCAGTTCCTGTACATAACACAAATTTATCGGTTGCTGAACTTAATTTTGTTGATAGCAATTAACTTCACTTCTATGTTACAATTCCTTATATACACTCAATGCAGAATAAAGAAAAAAATATGTTCCGCTTCAACACTCAATTTAGTTGGGACCTTTCACTAGTAGTGCAAAAATTAGTTGTCCTATATTTGTTTTGGGTAACTACTTAGGTTCACCGGTATAGCAGTCACTGGCTAGAAAGGAGGACCAACTTGGCTGTAGGACGAAGTCTCTGGCTTGCTGGATGGAGTCCCTGGCTAGCAAGGTAGGCGACAAAGCTGCAGGACGAAGTCCCTGGATTTTTGGCGGATGGAGTCCCTGGCTAGCAAGGCGGACGACTTGGCTGCAGGACGAAGTCCCTGGATTATTGCAGGATGGAGTCCCTGGCTAGCAAGGTAGGCGACAAAGCTGCAGGACGAAGTCCCTGGATTTTTGGCGGATGGAGTCCCTGGCTAGCAAGGCGGACGACTTGGCTGCAGGACGAAGTCCCTGGATTTTTGGCGGATGGAGTCCCTGGCTAGCAAGGCGGACGACTTATCTGCCGGATGAAGTCCCTGGCTAGCAAGGTAGACGACTCGGCTGCAGATATTGCAGGATGGAGTCCCTGGCTAGCAAGGTAGGCAACGAAGCTGCAGATATTGCTTGTAGTGGGGAGCCTGCGGCCAGCAAGATGGACCCACTTGACAGCAGGACAAAGTCCCTTGATTGCAGGATGGAGTCTGCTGCTAGCGAGGTAGACGACTGCAGGACTAAATGTCGGGCGGGGTAGCCTCCAGATTGTTCACCAGTAGCCTATACCCTATTTATTTGACTGCCGTTAATATCCCCGAAATCTATTAGTCCACTTTTTCAATGGAAGATTGCAAATGTCTTTCAATGCTTCACATCAAAAGAAGATTCTTAGTGTTCAAAGAATCAACTGCCGACTACGCCATTTGTAGCCAAGGGAAGAGTTATTGGTTTGGTCTAGCAGGGAACTCCTCATGTGGCCGAAGGCTACTTATAGTTAATAAATATTGATGTGAAGCGAGTGGACACGGAGAGATGACTAGATTTGATTAATTTATTCGGATGAATCTATACAAAATATACAGTTGTGGCTCTCTCGAATATATATACCAAAAAAAACGACAGTCAAATGGGTATACAGTTGTACGTCTGTGGAATTAAAGAAAACAAAATGGACATCTCATTAGTTTGTTATCATTTAAAAATACATGTACATAGCAATTCAATTCAGCATTTACAGCTTAGCTCCGCAATGTAAATACGTTAATTTATCTGTAACAATTGTACCATATAATCCTGAAAGAGGTTCAATATATTTTCTTATCAAAGCTCCAAGGATATGCAATAAATGCATTATAAAATCCCAAATCCATCCATTAATAATAGGCCAGCGAATAATTATTATTGTCAGAGTCCGTGTCCTTTAGGACACACCGTAGTGTTTATGCAAAACCGTGATTCCATCATGTCTATTTATATCACATGTGGCTTGCCATCTTATAATGCGCTGTGCGAAACGGTCCTTTTCGGGTCCGCCACCAAACGTGTAGGTAGGTAGGTTAAATTGTGTCCCAAACTCTAACTATTAAGGATAAATTTGCTAGATATATTACATAATTACTATGCCATATTCTCTCATTATCATCCCTGTTTCCATTGTGCAAATCTCAAGTCCATGTGCTGAATCGAAAAAGGGTAATTTGGGATTCATTTATCGTATCAATCTGGTGAAAACGTTTGCGGGTAAAGCACATGGTTGTATACAACGACTGTTTCATGTCGGGTACATAAAATTACTGTTGCGTGTTTTAATCTTAGCTTTTGCTGATAAAATTGGAAAAACTTCAACATCCAGGAATTTAATTATTTAACTGAAGCTATTTGGAATGTGTACATATATTTGTAAAACTTGCCATCGTGGAAACTGGTTGTCATCCATTTAATTTTTCCTTGCTTAACAAAATCCAATCAGTTACAAAACTAATAAGATAATTCTAACATTTAAACTAATATTTGGCGGAGCCTCATGGTGCATAATACTGCCCATGGTCTCTGAAACAGTGCTTTAGTTTACTTAAGCATCAGGTAATAAGAGAAACTTGAAGAAGCACGTTCTACTTTAGTTATTGCTTTACATTTCTTGCTAATTCACCTTACAATTATGGCCAATTATGCCTAAAGCTGGTGGGAAAAGGTGATATTTTATAGTATGTATTCTCTTTAATATCGAGAACTCTTCTCTTTCAAGCATAATTACAATTGAAGAGAATCAAACCCTTTGTATTATGTGAAAATCTATCCATAGTATCTTTACACCAGGCTTCTACAAAATTTACAATAAAAATTGGAAAGAAAGATATAAAAATTAGGTGTGTACTCACCGCCTAGGCTGAACAACGGTCGTGCCACCACCAAACGAAGGGGAAATTGTCCCCAACTAGCTGTAGTTGAGCTATAATCAGAGCACTTCTAAATTGTAGGTGTGGTCTGATCGCAAGCAAGTGGATGATTGTCTCTAGCAATGCCTTGTCATTACACGAAAGCTAAGTTATGCAGCACGCAATGCAGCTCAGAAAGTGTTAACAATATTCTGGAATGCAAGGTATGTTGAAATGTTCCTGGCCAATGCTCTAGTTATGCTAGAATGTGATTGCAGGAAAGTTAAGGAACCAAGCGAGGGCGTTGCAATAAAAAGTTTCTGTAACTACAGAGGGCGCTAATTATGTTATCAAAATAATGGCTCATCATATTGTACAGCCTATGTACTATGCTTATGATTATATTAGAAATGTTACCGAGACCTGTCTGTTGTAAAACACGACAGGTCACACTTGAAAATATAAAGCAACACGTCTGCGCAAAAAAATTGTTGCATTTTTAAATCTTTATCGCGTGAAATAAATACAAAAACGTTCAAAAAATACATTATAATATAGGTTTTCCCTATTATTTTAACACTTATATCACACGAATTCCTTATATCGATACTTTCATTTCGCCCCTGAACATCGCCAAGCTCAATTCTCAATTTGAATTTTAGAAAGTCACCACTAGATTTTATTTCGTTTATGTGGAGCTTTACAATTGTCATGAATTTTGATGAATACTTTCGGTATCCTGCAACTGCCGAAAATGGTCTTCATCGTTTTTGCTGGATTTGAGGATAAAATTATCAACTGCTGACTGTACTGTATGCATCACATTGACTTGGTTTATTGCCCTACGTGTAAACCCTGTGTGTGTGCCAGTTCGTACTCACAAAATACATGCTGTCAACCATTCGTCCATGTACTCAATCCAACAGTAATAAGCATTTGCTCCCTGTTGTCTAGTGAATGCTAGTAAACAGTAAAAGAAAACTTGTATTCATACAGAATCAAGCATTTGCTTTTCCTTATCGCTTTAACTCTAAAGTAAATGATTTTACTTTTTGCTAAAACTTCCTAGCATTTGCTAGTTTTTATTCATACGACCACTTATTGTTGTTAATCTGAATATACTATGCGTGTTACCATGTTAATTGCGAAAAAGCTAGACCTATATGCACGTAAAAATTGCTAACAATAATATTAATTAGTTGTTGTTAAACGAACGTATTACTCATTTGCTGCTGATTTTGTTGCTGTCCCTCGCAGGATTTTTCTTGTTATTTCCTTTTACTCTTCTGAAATGTGTGGATACTTCTTCTCTGCTCATTTTAAGTTCATTAAAATGAAGAAATCTAGATACCTGACGTATTTAACGCCTTTGGTACTGATTTTGTTCCTCGTTTTCTCGCTTCACTTGTTGACATCTTTTTGTCTTAGCGCATGATGATTGAAATCCAGATTGTTCATTGCTGCTATCGGCTTGATATTAAATGACGTTTACATTTGCGTTTTATTCATGCAAGTCATGACGTCCTATATAGTCCCTGGGATAGGGCCATTTAATCTTAATATTATATCTGTTAAAGGATACCTTTGGACATCCGAAAATGGTGCTCTTAAGTTGCACAGCCGGTATTTTTGCCTTCCAGCTCCAAAAACTGATATTTTGGGAGCTTATTTTTTTGAGAAACTGCTAAAATCATATTTTTGGCCTCTGCTGTCTCAAAAATGGTCCCGTCGTAACCTATTTGCACTTTTAACATCCTCATAGGATGGGTGAACAAGAAAAAATAAGGGTTGTCCCAAGTTTATTCGTATTCGTGTTCCCAGGGTATATATTGCTTTGCGGACACCCCCAAATCCTGTAACTTTGCCTTGTTTGGGGACAGAAATGAGTTTGAAATGATACTTATTCCAAAGATACACATTTTTTTATAATTTCAAAACTGCCTAAAACCACAAGCTTAAATTACAGTGGTTGATCGGCTTTCTGTCTTGAAAATTGGGCTCGCCATGGCCGTTTCTGCTTCCCCTACCCCCGAATCACTCAAAACGGCGTTATAGTGTGTGGCATTGCAAACCTATTTTGCATTTTATGATAACAGTGCCAAATGTGGTACAGAGATAGACCAATATCATATCAACAAATGTGGATATTGGAGCATCGCGGATCTCGACCTTGACGGCCGTGGGAGCCATCATTTTAAAAGTGATGAGTCATGATGAGTCAGCATTACTTTGTAATGCGTTTTCTCGTGCAATATGGAAGCTAACATGCTTTTCTGCCTTTTTTTCTACACGCTTGGATGTGAAACAGGCATAAACAATGGATTTTCTTTCAATACCTCAATGAAAAAAACAATAATGCCTGCCAGCTGATGTCAGGCCTTGCTATACCTGCAAGAATGGTACTGCACTGTAATGTAGAATACAGATTTATATGTAGACCTTCACAAAGTTAGTTGTGAATTCAAGTTCTGACCTGCCAAAATGACGTCCTGGCAATGTTTAAATGTTTCAGACCTTCCACTATCATAGCTGCACGAATGGGTCTGGCAAAAACCTTGCCCCACAAATAAAAATCAACTGTTTTTTAGTAACAAAATATGCTGAATCAGCATTTTTTTTTAAATGCAAATCTGTTTCAAGCTTCGGTGAAAAAAATATTTCTAGTTCATTTTCATCAACGTTAACCTAAGTATCCATTTACAGACATGCTTGTAAAATGCAGCGATGGTGATTTGTCGAAGGGCAAGGTGGTTAAAAGCTGGAGGGCTTGGGGGAAGGGGGCGGGGTTTGGATATAAACAAATATCTATGCATATCGAATTCCTAGTACATGCACATTGTGGTCTATTATGTGCAAATGGGCGGAAATATGTCATGGGAACACCATTTAGGGAAAACTTACATAGCACATTGAGGTTCAATGTGCAATTTCTGAAACAAAAGGCCTATACGCACTGGGATCATTTTTTTCGGGGATGGGGGGGCACCATTAACCCGTCTCCCCCCGAGATCCTCCCGCCCCCGGGGCCATGGCCCATATTCCTGTTCTTGTCTAATCTGTCCATAGAAAAAGTGATTTGTTTGTACATTTAATTAATTACATATTTTTAGTGCAGCCCGGGCATGTTGGTCATACGGGTCCAACTTAACGAAGTCTTATACAGCTACGCAAACTTTTTAAAATTGATTCAACACAACAAAATAAGCAAAATGATACCAATGAATTAGACATATAGCATTTCTGTTGGTTTGGTAAAAACGGATTGCAAAAAGTGGCATAGTGGGCGTGATCCCCCACAAACTGACCTCCACCAACTGCGGATAAAAGGGGGAGGGGCGAGGGGGGGGGACGGGGCCCGTGCCCCTCTTTCATTTTAGTTACGTCGCTAAAAAGGAAGCTATTGCATAAACCACCCACAAAACTCAACAAAAACAATAAAGCTGCACCCCTCTCCATGCTTTTCATATTAAATTTTGGGCGGACATTTGTGGACACATTTGTTCTTCAACTCAATTCCTGCCCCCCCCCCCCACAAAAAAAATGTGTTAAATACGGAAAGCAAGGGAAGAGGGTGCAGATTTATTGTTTTTGTTGAGTTTTTGCGGGCGATGTAAACAATAGCTGCCTTATTTTAGCAAAATAACGTAACAAAAGACAGAGGAGGGACCCTCCCCATTTAATCCACCGTTGGGGGAGGTCAGTTTGCAGGGGCTCACTACTACACCACATTTTGTCATCCGTTTTTCCCAAACAAACAGAAAGTCATAATTCATTGGTTTAATTCATTTTGCTTATTTTGTTGTGTGGAAGCAAGTTCAAAAAAGTTTCTGTCGGTAGCTGTAAGACTTCGTTAAGTTGGACCTGTCACTGACCAACATACAAGGGATGCACCAAAAACGTTTAATTAAATAATGAAATGCATGTAAAACACATTCAGTTTTACAGATTGGACACGATCGGGAATGTGGGGCATGGCCCCGGGGGAGGGCGGATCGTCGGGGGGGGGGGGGCATGTTCTGCCCCCCCCCCCCTGAAAAAAAATACTCCAGTGCGTATAGGCCTCTTCTCTTAGCAAATGTATATTATATATGTGCTACGTAAGTTCCCCTAAATGGTGTTCCCATGACATATTTTCACTTATTTGCACATAATAGACAACGAATGCAACTTATTAGGAATGTGCATATAGATATTGAAGATAGTCCAAACCCCGCCTCCCCCCCCCCCGCCCACCCCTCCAACTTGTATCCAGCTTGTCTCTCGAAACCCCATAAATAATAAGAAATCACCCTCGCTGCATTTTACAAGCATATCTGTATACCGATGAAAATGACCTAGACAATTTTGTTTTCACCGAAGCTTGAAACAGAATTGCATTTTAGTGGTCACTAAAATCAGTTGAATTTTATTTATGGGGCAAGGTTTTTGCCAGACCCATTCCTGCTATGATAGTGGAAGGTCTTAAACATTGCCAGGACGTCATTTTTTGGCGAGTCAGAACTTGAATTCCCAACCAACTTTGTAGGTCTACATACATCTGTATTCTACATTAGAGTGCAGTACAATTCTTGCAGGTGTAGCCAGACCTGACATCACCTGGCAGGCATTATTAAGCTTTTTTCATTGAGGTATTGAAAGAAAATCCATTGTTAATGTCTGTTTTGCATCTAAGCGTGTACAAAAAAGGCATGCATGTTAGCCTCCAAATTGCACGAGAAACCGCATTACAAAATAGTGCTGACTCATCATGACTCATCGCTTTTAAAATAATGGTTCCCACGGCCGTCAAGGGCCAGATCTGCGATACTCCAATATCCACATTTGTTGATATGATATTGGTCTGTGTCTGTAACGCATTTGGCACTGTTATCATAAAATGCAAAATAGGTTTGCTATGCCACACACTATAACGCCGTTTTGAGTGATTCGGGGGTAGGGGAAGCAGAAACGGCCATGGCGAGCCCAATTTTCAAGACAGAAAGCCGATCAACCACTGTAATTTAAGCTTGTGGTTTTAGGCAGTTTTGAAATTATAAAAAAATGTGTATCTTTGGAATAAGTATCAGTTTCAAACTCATTTCTGTCCCCAAACAGGGCAAAGTTACAGGATTTGGGGGTGTCCGCAAAGCCATATATATAACCTGGGAACACAAATACAGATAAACTTGGGGCAACCCTTATTTTTTCTTGTTTACCCATCCTATGAGGATGTTAAAAGTGCAAATAGGTTACGACGGGA